CTGTACAGATGTAATAAAATGTTATGTTCTGTGGTAGAAATAGCACTGAACAGGGAAGAGACTTGAATTCTAGACTTGGTTCTGCTACTATTTTTGTGTGTGTGATTTTGGGCAAATCACTTAACCTCTCTAAGGTTTTAGATTTCTCAATTCTCAAGCAGAAGAATTGGGACAAGTCAAGATCATATCAAGACTCATAATCATCTTTGTGCTTAATTTAAAGATGATATAGAGCAAAATGGAACTTAAGGTATGCCTCCATGAGGACACAATTGTCACTGGGAAGGAATCTCCAGTTTACTGTTGTGCCATACCCACAAGAGTAGAGCTGAGCAATACCCTAAGGGGATGCATTTCAGACTTTGGTTGGGTTAATATTTAATTCTCAATGTCTTAGTTGTGAACAGTTGGCCAGAAGTTGTTATCCCTACTTACCTCATAAAGAAACTTTGATTTAGATAGCTTAAGTGATTTTATGAAGGTCACATAACCAATGAGTGGTGGAGTTAAGACTATTGGATAATAGTCTTTTGACAAGTCCTATGTGCCCTCAGCTGACACACTTCCCTGCCTCTCTGCCATTTAAATGCACTCACAGCTCAGGAGTGGCATACAGAATTATAATACATCATACTTTTGGCTAACTACAGTGGGTCATAAAGGTCTTTTGACATGTATTCTTGTGCAAATTATAAGGGTTGGAGGCAGATTTTTCTTGACTACAATTCGTGGCTACATTAGTCCTTGCTGATAAACTGTACCTTTGTATTTCTTTATGAACCAGCTCTTCCTGTCCTCTGCCTTGCTTCATTTCAAGTACTGACATAACAACCTACACAGACTGCAGCTTGTCAGCTCATTCCTTTCAGTCAGACAAAGAAACTTAGTGATTCTGGAGCTAGTTAAAATTAATGGATTAGCCTTATTAAAAACTGGCCTGCTCATTGAAATGGATGGATACATCCTTAATTGGCATCAGCAATTATATTATTAAATGTTACATCAATTTTTGAAGTTTCCATGTGCACGTAAACAACACTATGGGCACCTTTTTCATGTGTTTTTCTACTGGGCATGATCCTGGGAGGAAAAAGAGCAGTTGAAAAAAAGAGCAGTTGGAGATAGTTTAATAAAGGAACTATTGATCAAAGGAGAAGAGATATGGTATGGCTTTTTGGAGTTAGCAGTGGCTAGAAATGGTTACCACTCCTATGCTCGAAGGAAAAGGAGAGGAGAGAGCAGTTACTCAAACTCAAGACGTCTGGAACTGTGGTAAGAGCCCCTAAAGGACCTTCGGCCTTTAGTAGAAAACCTAGCAGAACAGCAGGGAAACATATGCCCCAAATTCACTTCCCTCCTGCCCTTCGATCTCCAGCTAGAAGTGCCCACTGGTTGAACCCAAGAGGAAACCAGAGGAGAAAGGAACTGTCAATGCAGTCTTCATAAGTCAGCTTCTTGGGATTCAGAACAAGAAGGACGTAGGGTGGATGTGGAGAAGCAAGTGGAAGACACTCAGCACAGAACTACATCTGTCTTTATGTGATTGCATTTGACAAATAAAATGATCCATTCTAAGTTCACTGTCACCCACTCCCCTCCTCCTCCTTTTGGGATATATTTAGAAAATACAGTTAATAAAGTTGACCTTTAAGCTAGTAAAGCATAAAATTCACAATCAATATGTAATTTACACAGGAAATACTTCTTACTCATCCATACAGTACTTTAACAGTTCAAGCTTCTTTTGAGTAGAGGGTGACTGAAAAAAATAACTCAAAATCATTTTACAAGTGGTTCAAATAGTAATATGCTTTACTTTCTCTTATTTTTAGTCCTCAGCTATCACAGTGCTTCAAAATTTAATCTGGATTCCTTTTTATCATTTTAACTGGTTTATTTTCAAAATGATATTTGGAGGAATTTAATCTGTCTTTTAGAATTACTTGGCTAAAGAGATTTATGTTAAAAACTAGGTGGCAATTCTAAAAACTAAAGGGTGCAAGAAGACTCAAATTATAACCCAAACCATAAATTAACAAAAGTTTAACTTGTAAAACTCTAAATTTTAGATTCATTTTGAATATTTACTAATAAAAAGTAAACAGAACTCACTGTATATGGTTTTAATTTATAAGGAAACTGTACCTTACCCTTTGGCTCTTATTTATTGATTTTGCATAATTTCATCTATTTTTGTTAAAATTAAGTTAGCAATAAAATGACAAGACTTGTGATTTTTCCACCTTCTCTTCTTCTTGTAATGGTCAATAGCATCAAAGGGGAAATCTAAGCTCTATAGCTTAAGTACTGTTTTGATTTTCAGAAAAGTTTTTGTAAAGACTAGAGTAGATTAGCATCCACATCAGAGCACAACTAAATACATAATGTGTCAGTATGTTCAGGTGCAAAGGAAAAAATAACAGAGGGTGAAATCTCAATTTTAACTGAGAGAATGATTGCCATCATACTTTGAAATGTATATTAAAATTGGCTTTTGGGGAATGGCATTAACATTCAGCAGTAAATGATAATAGCAGCTCTCATTTATTCTATTTTTTGATAAAAAGAAATTTATGCATTAAGGTAGCTTAGAGTTAAAAATAACAAGAAATCCTGTTCTTTCCTTTTTTGAAAAGTCTCTTATAATTTCTTTCTAAAGACAAGGTCAGGAAAAAGACAAATTTAACTATGTAGATGACTATGATTATGGAATGATTAAATTTGGTCTTACTTAAAATAGATTTTGTAAACTGAGAACTGCAAGGGTTGTCTGCTTAGAAAAACCAGCTCAAACTCATTCACTCCTTAGGCATCAAAGAGAATATTGTTTGATTCTTGCTTCGACAATATATAGTATTATAGATTTCTTATAGTGATATCCCACTTATTCATTCATTCATTTATTCACTAAGTAGTCTAGACAGAAAAATGGTAATAATTCAGTCCTTGAAATAGCTGACAAAGCAGTTAAAATATATGAGGCAAATATATGTTATTAAATATATAAGTACTATAAAGTTAAATAAATAAACATTACAGCTATATCTTACTCATTTTTGTATTTCCAGTGCCTTGCACAGAGTAGATGCTCGGCAACAAATATTTTTCTTTCGTTTACTTGTGGATTAAGTTTTTATTACAAATGGAAAGTACATAATCTTGCCTAAAACAATTTATTTGGCAAATAAATATTCCCTGACCACCCTCCACCACCATCTCACAGCTCCCCAACATGCCCCTCCTTCCCCAAAAGTGACACTCACATGATTAAAGTTCAGGGATTCAGCAAAATTTAAAATATCTTTAAAGTACTATTATTATTTTAAATTTTATAATCTGACAAAAACTGAGGTGATATTTGCTGCATGAATTAGCCGGTTTCTGGGACACTCCGAAAAGCAATTTCCTCATGTATTTATATTTACAGGCTTCCCTCATCAATCACTAGAAATACCTCTGGACAGAGGTATACATGATTGACATGTGGGTTGCTAGTCAATAGAAAAAAATTTCTTCCAGAGCTGAGATAGATCCATGTACCTACTTTAAAAAAGATGCCATCAAGGGAAGCGTTATACAGCAAATGTTTCATCACAATTATCCTCTTAGAAATAGTATTTCAAAGATTTTATTGAAGTAGAAAATTGGGGGCTGGAAAAAATTTTGAGAACTAGAAAATCTTTAGTGTTTTGCTTTTTATCCACCCACTCCCCAACTCCAACGAAATCTTATGTAAGAACGTGAACTCCAGAGCCATTCATTTTTGCTACTATTGTTCATGGCACACAGCAAGGCAGGAATCAAATCACCATTCATATTTCCCGTTTCAACCTGGAGGACCACAAACTTGCTTCCTCTCTCTCTTTCCTTTTTCTTCCTTTCTTTTCTTACTCTGTTAACCATTCCATTTACATTTCTCTCCTACTTTTCCTCTTCTGCTGTCTCACACAGCCCACCAAAAATCTCCCAGGAAAAGAAGTTACGTCTACATAGTCCACATTAATGTTTACAAGGTAACAAATCTTATTAATGAAGAAAGATCACACAGTTTCCTTAACTGCCTGAGCAATGTGACCGTGAGTCCTGGACAGAGAGCCCACTGGACTGCTGGGATGAGGCTCTAATAGGCACCATGGTGAATGACAAGTTAACCCCTTTGGAACCACACCATTTTCAGCAATCAGAGGACCTCCCTCATTAGTCTCAGAAAGTAAAGTATGAAATTCCAACATCAAATCTCATGCTGTTAAATTAACAACATCACACTGCTACATATGACTTGAATATCTCCCATAACTTTATGACTGGAAAAACACTGTTCAGATTTCATTTACCAGTTTAAAAATAGCGAACTCTAATTTGAAACACACACACACACACACACACACACACATCGTGCATGCTCACTAATATTCCCTCTTAGTGCTAGGCAAACGTTCCTTCCTATAAACAGAAATAAAATTGAGTATAATTGTTAAGTTTTAAAAGTCAGATTTGCCAAAAGATGATGTTTGTTATGAAACAAATCAAGAAGAAAATAGGCCACAGAGCCAAAATGACAAGCCACAATCTGTTTGGTATAACAATGGCTATTTATCTATTTTTAAGGTATAAATCAAAAGTATTCTGTGTTTCTTTTGACTTGAAGATCATCCGCAGACTATTCTATTCCTGTCCAATGAAATGTCTTCTTCTTGGGTTGGTGAGTGCTGATCTAGACAAATAACAGATTTTAAACATCTTAAAATGGCGTGACCATTTTTTAAGAAACCATGGGAAGATGGCCTACAAACTTTGTTACTTTGTACATCCAGATAGGAACTAAAAAAGAAAACTAGAAGAGATGCCCACAGACCACTTTAAGTCCACAGAAAGTGCAAAATAATATCACTGTGCTCATAAACAAAGAGAGGCTGCTCTTTGTACACAGCAGAAACACTCATCATACACAAGGCACTCCAATTAAGTTTTGATAGAAGTTACGTCACGTTTAAACTCACCGCTGGATGTAAGGGTCGGGACAGTACTGTAGGGTGGCACACCGTGAAGTTTCAAAATTCATTTCCTTCAACTCTCTTTGATATCAACAAATGGAGAACAGTATTATAACATATACACATATACCTGTGTATACATAGATATAAAGCCAGAAGGCTAAAAGCAATAGGGTCAAATGCTATCAGACATAGAAGTGTAGACACTTCCCCCCTTCACACACATTTGCAAAGAGGCGGAGCGCTTCTTGATTTGAGCCAATGAGATTCATCAAGGGACTAAAACATCAGAAACAGTCGAATCTTACCAGCTGGGCATCCTCTCTAAAGTTGTTCTTCCCCCTCTACCACGGCTTTAGAGTCCTTGTCGTATAGTGGCCACACTTGTTGGCAACTTGGAGTCATCACTGAACTTCTGGTCTCTCTGGTGATTGGATGCTGGCATGAATGGCATCAGAGTTTAATTTCAGCAGCCTGGACTTTCACAACAGAACAAGAGCTAATGAGTGTCCACCCTGCTCCAGCTAATTAATGTTTCCTTGTCTCTGCATACTGATTTGATTTGAGGGCTTCTGTAACTGCTTCTGGAACAAAATATTTCACAGAGCTGCTTAGGAAGTTGTTTTGGTTTTTTTCTTCATCTCCACCTCCACACCCCCCCCTTCCCCCCACCCTTCATTCTCCCTTTCAGCCAACCGCCTGTTGTGGTCACAATCTCAAATAGCAAAGACAGGGAAATTCCTTGATTATATTTAACCTAGAACTCACTCTTCGTCTCAACTAAAAGAGATACCCATTCACATCCCCTTAGCTTTGCTTTCCCTAATTAAAAAATAATAATAAGCTTTACTGAGTTTTTCAAATATCCTACCTCAAACACACACACATAATTTTCTTAAAGTAATATTAAAATGGAAAATAATTTTCAACTATTTTAAAGCTTACAAAATTATTTCAAATTGCCTGTTACTGAAAACATTCGAGTTCTTTCCATCTCTCTCAGTCTCTCCCACTCTCTTATTTATGTCATTGTTTTTGCTGGTTTTGGTTTTGCTTTGGCTCGAGCTACTTTGGAGTAAAACCGTTAACTTATTCATATATCCAAAAATTAATATAATATCAAAAAATCTACATAGAGAATAATTCACTTCCTTTCTGAATACAGGCTGTAAACCTATCATGGTTTTGTGGATTTGGATATTGAATGAAATATGTTTCAGAAGCTAAATTAAAATAGACTCCAACAGAAAACCAAAAACAAAAAACAACAGCGTGCCCAAGTGTCACTAACATGGCAAGTTCATAACCTCCTTTCACCCTCAACCATAGGTTACCTGTAAATTGGTGACATCAGAAGTTATCAAAGTTGTAAGATAATCTAAAGTCATTTCCAGAGCAATTTGACATCTCCTTTTGAGAAATTTTGGTTCAAAATATGTTTCATAAAAATATTTTATTTGTTGCTTCAGCCAGGATAGAAGGGAGAAGCTATTTAAAACTGGACATTCTCTTCCTTACTTAGCCTGAGAGTGTTTAACATCTGTGAATTGTGAAATTCACAAATATGCCAGCCTGAGCCCCAGCCAATTCAAACAGTTTGTTCTACAAAATGGGAAATTTGAGGGAATATCATTTTACTAATTAATTATAGATTTGTTAATTGGAGTTAAAGTGTTTGGCTTTATTCCCTGCTATTAGCAAGTACAGATGACCAGAGTATATAGAGTTCTTAAATTAAAAATACTCAATTTCCTTTGAGCATGGCCAAGTCCCATCAAGTGCCTGGCCTTTCCCATTTATAAAATGAGAGGTGAAATAATGGTCTCTAATGCAGTGCTTCTCAAATGTTGATGTACCTGCAAGTCACCTGGAAACTTTGTTAATGCAGATTCTAGTTCAGTAGGTCTGGGGTGAGGCCTGAGACTCTGCATTTCTCACAAGCTCCCAGCTGCTGCTGGTGCTGCTGGTCCTTGCATCACACTTTGAGTAGCAAGACCTAGTGCTCTTTTCAGGCTTTTTATATACTTTTATATACTTCTAGGAAATAAGCAGCGCTCTTCCAAATATTTTAACTTACCAACAGAGGCTCTAGGCTCCCAGATAAATTATTAATTTGTAAACATTCTTAGTATGCTTTTTTTTTTTTTTTTCCTGCGGCACGTGGGCCTCTCATTGTTGTGGCCTCTCCTGTTGCGGAGCACAGGCTCCGGGCGCACAGGCCCAGTCGCTCCGCGGCATGTGGGATCTTCTCGGACCGGGGCACGAACCCGTGTCCCCTGCATCGGCAGGCGGACCCTCAACCACTGTGCCACCAGGGAAGCCCTAGTATGCTTTTAATTTCAAAAGTTTTATAGCCTAATTTATAAAAAAGACCATTTAAAATGTATGCCCTGACATCAATAGCTGTTATTTTTAAAAATCCTAAAATCATTAGGTAAGAGGGACAGATACTAAATGGTAAAAAATTATGTAAATAATTATGAAACATACTGGTTCCTACTGTATTGTGAAAATAAATGCAGAGGGCTACCCTGACCAAGGGCAAAAGGCAAACTCTCCAGGATTCAACAGCACACCCATGGCACACAACCACCCAGAACCTGGGAAAATAAGTGACAATTATACTATAATTACCATAATTGCCACTTACATTTATATTACAACCCTCTTCACCCAGGGGGGCTCAGGTTACTATACAAATGCATAAATTATTTCTTTGCTGTGCAAGTTAGATGCTTTTCCAACACCTTAAGTCTTTTAGGTAGAGATTGTAATAGAATAAGTTACACATTAGGCTGGGAGAAGGTAGTTGCCTTTCTGACCATGACCTACATCTTTGAATGATGTTGTTTGTGAAGATTTTTGATTTGTAGGAAGAGGAGGAGAAAGTAAAGAGCTTAGGGAAACCGTAACATTGAGGGCCTGGAACTCTGGACACAATGTAAGATAAAAGTACACTTTTTCCTTTCAGCGCCTAGCAGCCAAGTATGTGCACTTTGCTAAACTCAGGTATTCAAAACACAAACCCTTCTCATTTATATCCATGTGAATTACTTCTTAATTGTTCTCCTTTATGCACTCTGTCCACTGGGTGACATACTTTTCTGTTTTGTCCCCCACCTCGGATCATATTTTGTCTTCCATCCAGAATGTTTTTAAACCCCATGTGCATATATCTCAAAAATACTTCAAAGAACAGGAAGCCTTTCTCATCCCTCGAGGTAAAAGGAAGTTACCCTACCTCTAATGTCTTAAATCATGATATTTTCACTTGTGAAAGAGCACCTGCTACTTTCTTCCTGGATTTGAGCTATTTTTGCGTAAGACCCATCTCCTGTACTGGACCGTGAACAACTTGAGGGTGGGTTTGCTATCTGATTCATCTCTGTATCTCCAGGGACTAGCAAAATACGGTCTAGTGGACAAATAACATGTTTATATTTTTGCAAAAACACATCTAGGGGCTTCCCTGGTGGCGCAGTGGTTGAGAGCCCGCCTGCCGATGCAGGGGACACGGGTTCATGCCCCGGTCCGGGAAGATCCCACATGCCGTGGAGTGGCTGGGCCCATGAGCCATGGCCGCTGGGCCTGCGCGTCCAGAGCCTATGCTCTGTAACGGGAGAGGCCGCAACAGTGAGAGGCCCGCGTACCGCAAAAAAACCCCCCAAAAAACCCACATCTAATAATTATTATAAGTGGTTAAAAAAGTACTTCCATGAAACACTTGACTTTTTAGAATCAACTTTATTGAGGTATAATTTACATACAATGAAAATCACTAATTCTACCGTTCCATTTGAGGAATTTTGACATACTATATACCATGTAGTCTTTACCACAAACAAGACATAGAATATTTCATTACCCCCCAAATCCCCTCATTTCCATTACCTTAAAAGCTCCCCTTTGTGGTTAATCCTTCTTCAACACTGACCCTAAACAATCACTCTCTTGTTTTTTTTGTCATTATGTATCAGACGTATGTTTTCTAGAGCAACATTATCCAATCGACCTTTCTGTGATGAAGGGAATAGTCGACGTTTGCACTGTCTGACATGGTAGCCACTAACCACATATGGCTAATGTGACTGAGAAACTGCATTTTAATTTTTATTTAATTTTAATCAACTTGTATTTAAAAAGCCACATGTGGCTAGTGGCTACCATGCTGGACTTCACAATGCTAGAATGTCACATAAATGGAGGCACATGGCATGCATTCTGTGTCTAGTAGGTTCTTTCATTCAACGTATTGTTTTTGAGATACATCCATATAGTTATGTATGTCAGTAACTGGTTCTTTTTTATGGCTGTTGAACATGTGGATTGCTCCTTTTCTTTTTCATTATTAAGAACAAATTCTGGTCTCATATCCTCAATTATGGCCCAAAGCAGAAGTCCAATAGACTTTTTAAGAGCTCAATAATGACTCATTCCATTGAGTCCCTTAATGATGTGGAATAGTTCATTCCTTCCAAGGCTGCTGTAGCTCTAGAGAAGGCAGCAGATGTAGAGAGAAACTGCCTAACCTGGGTTTGGTTTGGGCTCTGGTCCCAACTTCCTCCCTGACTTTAGGCAAGCAGCCTACTGTCTTTGGGTCTTACATTCTTGATCTTTAAGAGGAAGGAGGTACCAGTGAGGATTCTTTTGTTATTAGCAATGGAAACTAACTCCTGCTAAGTAAAACTAAAAATATAAAAATAGATTAAAATATGAAAATTCACAGACTGGAAGATAAAGTTGAAAAACAAGATTTGGGAAAAGGCTGGAACCAGAATAGCTTCAGAGATCTAAGTAACAGGAACGAATAGAGTCATTTCATAGTGCCACCATAGCAATAAGTCAGACCCAACAGGTTTTTGTTTTTTGTTTTTTTAAACTTGAGTCACTTACCTTAAGATTCAAATTCTCAGAAGGAAGATGCCATGTTAGGCCAGGAGAAATCTGAATGCCTTGATTGATAGCCCTATCAAGACTGGAGCAAAGAGAGTTTCTGAAAGAAAATAGAGGTTCTATTAAGCGAGGAAAGGGCAATAGGTTCAGGGCAACAGAAAACAACAGATGCCAC